TGGAAAGACTATGCGACAATATGTTTTTAACAGAACTGGATATTGCTTTTATTGGCTTAACAAGTGAGCCATTAACAAAAAACCTTTCTTAGTCTTCAATAAACAATGGGCTAACCAAATAATAGAAAAGTATCGATAGTGGTATCGATAAAGACTCGGATCGATAAGGAGTATCGATAAAGGTATCGATATCAATAAATATTAACGATCCCCATCCCTATTCGATACCCAGCTCCTACTTGAGCAAGATACTGAACCCCAAATTTGACTGTATGACTGTGTGAATGCTGAGTTTCCAGTGAGCAGTTAGCACCTTGCATGGCAGCCACTGCCATCAGTGCATAAATGGGGTGAGTGTGGCATGAAGTGCACAGCGCATTGAGTGTTCGAAAAGACTAGAAAAGTCCTTTATAAGTACAGTCCATTTACCAACCTGTAGAATATGACAAGCCCAACTTTTCCAAACCAATCAAGTCTTGGTCGAAACACCCAGAGCGATTCAAAAATAGGTGCTTGAATCGGAATGATTGAATGGAGCAGGTTTCCTGTTTTGTGGAACCATAGTAATCAGATGCGTCATCAGATGCGTCATCAACAGAGGGCGCTGCACAATGCACAACAAGTGGCTCTCAAGTAAAACCTGCAATTTTTTGTTCCAGCTGGGAACTAACTTGCCAGGTTAAGAACAAATGTATTTTTGGTCGAAATGGTTCAAAAAAAAGGTGCTTCAACCAGAACAAACCTGATGCCCTGTCGGTGGAAAAGGCCTGAAAGAGAACCAGATTAACTGGAACCTGCTGTGCGGCACAGGCCACACATCTGCTCCTGGACTGAGACCCAAGGAAAATCAGTATTGGTTCCATATCAGTTATGTTTTGTAGTTCTTACAGCATGATCAATTCTAAAGAAAGGCTGAAAAATACAACTTTATAGCTAATTATAAATAACTGTCAAAATCATATTTAGGACATTTTGAAGCCTGAAATTGAGATTATTGGCTCTTCTACATTTAAAGGCCCGTGAAAACGCTGTCAATGAAGGCCTGTTCACTGATTTCCTTATCACTGATTGCATAATGTCTCCACCCTGCAATCTCTTAAGCTACAAACATGTGCATTCAATTTAACATACAGCTTCAAATATGTCATTTTCTTCATTTACTAATCTATTTTTAGTGGAATTATACTTCCGGTTAATTATAATGCCTATAATGTCATCAACTGCTGTCTTTAAGCTTTTATTTTGTTGGACCACTAACACCATTTCTCACTCACTAATTTTTAAAATGAAGTTCTGTGTTTTTCTGTGCTACTTTCTCTATTTTCCAGTATTAAAAACGGATATGCCAAATTGGGTTTTTGTGACCTAACAGTTACATGAGGAACCTGCCGACTCAACTTCCTTATATGTGCAATCTTCACATTAGTTCCGCCTGCTCTTACTGACCTTAAAGGTGTCAGAGTGGGCACCCACTGGCCCCCATACACACTCACGTTTTGAACATCTTCTCCATGTCTTTGATCTGGGTCCGGGAGAACTCCTTGAACTCGGTGTAGGGGTTGAAGACCTTCATGCTGGGCTGGGAGTGCTCCCCCTGCCCCTCGTTCAGCTCCTCTCGCCGCATCAGCTTAGCGCCCAGCTCCGAGTCCGCGTTGGCCGTGCTCGGTTTTTCCTCCGACCCGTTCTGGTGTCCGGGGACGTCCACGGCGACCGGGTCCTCGGCCCCTTCTTCGATCTGCAGCCGGCGGCTGAGCTTGGACGAGAGCTCGTCTGTGGCCATTTTCAAACAGTGTGGCTGATAATGAGAAGAGCGCCGTTATCTAACGTTAGCTAACTACAGTGGGAGAAGGCGTCAACGCACTGCCTTCTGTCCGGTTCTTCCCCTTGTGTGTACGCTGTACGCGGGTATTTGTGGCAACAGCCGAGGCAAAGTAGAACAAATATCCCTGTTTATCTGTTTCTTGTCGTTTTAATTTCCGAGGCTCAAGCTCCAAGTTCAGATAAATAGCTCCACTACAGGATGTTCAATGTTGGCTCATTAGCTACGTTGCAATCTGTACGCCGACTGTCACGCTGTCGGTCCGCCTCTTAAAGGGACAGGCACACAGACTACACAGCTACAGGTGATTTTGTACCTTCACCTTAACCCAACGGTCCCCATCCTTTTTCCTTTAGGGACCCGTTTTCTGTCATTGAGTAACCTGACGTCCTCTGACTATATCCAGCAAATACAGAACAACTGATGAACCCAGACAGTGAACACAATAACTGCAGGAAGGTTGTGTAAAAAGAGTGATGTGGATGGATTTTCAGCATTCTTTTTGTAATACTTCATCAGGGATGAGTTTTTCTAATATTTTTAGAAACTTGTTATATAATCCTCTGTTTTTTTTCTAACAATCACACATACTTAATAGGCTTCTTTTTTGACTGGTTCAGTGTTTTCTTTTCTCTGATACTTGGCCATTGTTCTTGGCTTGTGTTCAGGTCATCAAACTTTAGATATTTAACAACACACTGTAATGAAATAAGTTATTTTAAAAAACAAAAGATTGTTCAAACTGTTTACACTGAGAATGTTAAGTTACACAAAGTCAATTTAATTAAGTTTGAGTCAAACTGGGGTAGAGCGGGTCGGAAGGTTTAGGTTCGATCCCCGATCCTTGAGCAAGATACTGAACGCCAAACTGCTCCTGAGTTTCTGTTCAATGGACTTTGCTTTGCCATCACTGTGTGAAAGGGTGAATGTGGCATGCAGTGTAAAAGCGCTTTGAGTGGTCGGAAGATTAGAAAGCTATACAAATACAGGTCAATTTACCATTAACAGTGTAATTTAAAAAAATAACAATTTAGTTTTCCTCACAAAAATGAATGAAATGTTGAGATATAGGCCTACTGTGTATATTTTACTGTGTAAGTTTTCTAGTACATCAAGGGGAGCCCATGGCCTTCCTGATCTAAGTGCCAGTACTCACTGGCCCATTTCAGGAACTGTGTAAAATACTTACAGAAAACTTACATAGCTGGTGCAACAGGCTGCTGGTCTACCATAATCCACCTTAAAGAAATGGGACGTTGGTCTTCAAGCAGCCTATAAGCGATACATTTGTTAGAACATAATTTCTGCTAAAAAAAACAAACAAGGAGCTCTATCCTGCAAACTAACCAAACTTAATCAAAATAAAAGATAATAAAAAAATTATTAAAAAGAAGCTTTCACTGTTCATCCAGCTTATCATGCTTCTATTATTTGAGTTTGGACAGTTTTTTGAAGGCGAGAGGGGGTTCCTCTACCATCGTTACTTCTTAATCTTAATCTAAGTGTATAGTAACACAAGTTTATTGAAGTGTATTGAATTTTTGAGGTCAGATAACACGAATCCCCCAAATTTAGCATCACTGACAAGTCACCATTAATGTGTAAACAAGAAATGATTGTACTTTACCATTTTGTACTAGCAGGAATGTTACAATGTTGCCAAATGGCATCAAACTATACAATTAGATCACCATTACCAGTTCAACCTTACATAGAGAAAGATAAATGTTTTACGTAAGATTTAATACTCTGTTTTCTAAGATTTTACTGGAGCTGACAAACCACCAGCGGCAACTTTCAGCAGCTGTGAGTATCACCTCTATGTCCATTTAGCATTGTATTGTGGGACAACAGCATACGTACAAAGCACCCTCAGTGTGCTGTGTGTGTCTCGTTGTGTCATTGTTTCCATGTGAACTCACCACAGACTCAAATTCTGCCTAGAATGACCACGTTACGTTGTCTGGAATAAGGACACGGCACTGAGATCAAGCTCAGGGGGTAGACTGAAGGCTGATGCAACTGTATAATATAAATTCATGAAAAAGGCTGGAATTTCATCCCCCCCATGTGTTCATGTCCGTGTAAATAACCCAAACCTCCATTCTCCAGCTGCACCGACAGCCTCATCTTCATTCTGTGCCCACTCTCTGCTGCCCTCGAGTGTTAGTGAAGTGGTAAGACAAATCAGAGACACAATATATACACAAGCCACTGTAACCAGTGGAGAGAATCCTTTTCTAAAGAAGTAAAGTTTGGGGCCCATTAATTAAACAAAAGCACAAGTGCTGCAGTCGAATAGTAAACAAACAAAAAAGTAATAAAAAAACGTCCTATGTCCATTACTAAACACTTTTACCTAACCTTGTTGAACGTCATGAGGTCAAGGAAAGATGTGAGGGAGAACTCATAAGACCTAGGAAAAGACAACTGTGGTGCTGCGAGAATCTGGCTGCACTGACACTTGCCTTTTTTTTTTTAGACTTTATTGATTGCCCTTTTAAAACCAACGTTCCAAAGTGCTTCACAGTTAGCAAATAAACAGAGACAGATGGTCAACAATAAAAGGAATAGAAAAGCTATGCATAATGGTACAGTGAGGATATTATAGTACACAGCATAACAGCACAAAATAATACAATAGCAGATTCTCATCAGCAATATAAGCAATGGAACGAGAAACAACATTAGGATAATTAAAACCAGTAAAAACTGCAAATGGCAGTTCAGTTCAGTTTATACAAAGAGTACATTTAACCATCAGCAACTCACAGGAAGTAACAAATACATATTGTTAAATATTATAAAATAATAAAAAACAGGAATTTAATGTTGAAATAATAACACAGTGATATTTGGAATATAAACCTTTAAAATAATCATTAAATAAAAATAAGAAACTGAATTTTCTGGAATGAGCGCTTTTGACCTTTTTTAGTAGACAAAACATTTTTATTTTTATTTTTTTTAAATTGCATTACACACTGGGGGATTTAGCGAAACAACATGTATATATATTTTGCGATCATGATTATAGTGTAAACTAAAAATTAAATTGCTTGTTCCTAAGGTGACTCCTAACTGGATACATTTGTACAAGAGAAGGTCTATGTTTATGGATTTGGAGTATTATACTTTTTGGATGTAGTCACAAAACAGGTGCTGTCTTGTTATTGCCATGGTGAAACTACAATGGTACATCGCTTTAAATGTTGCTGGCGCAAGGAATTGTGGGGACAGCATTATCTCCTTTCGTATCATAAAGGAGGTAAGAAAGGAAGCACTGAAGTACCTTTTCTCAGCATTTAGAGAATTCAAAAGAGACTACTGGACTCAAAACCAGTTGAAAGATTACATCTTAAATTCAGTAAAAACATACTGAGAGTCCATAGAAACAGCAGGGCCAGTTCCCCCTCTTATCAAAATTAAAAAAGAATAATCACATTTTAGAACCCTTTGATAGAGTCAGTTTCAACTTCACACCAACACAGAGCAGACACAGCAAAACAAAGACGTCTGAGGTAAAGATACATGGAATGGAACAAATGAGCTAATGCTTCAAAGTGATACTATGAAAATAATTTAAAAAAGTTAAACAAATAGACAAAGATAATAAACTAAAATATTTCAAAGTATTTAACCAAAATAAAACATCCAACATACATAAAAAGACAACCCCCAACTAGAAATAAACTTACGGACCATAAACTCGCTATTGAAAGTGGTCACCATAATGGCAAGAAAGAACAAAGAGGATTGTGAAACCCATTGAAACTTCCATTGTGAAACAGGAGAAGTTGAGACAGAAATTCGTCAGAAATTCGAGAAGATTTCACAAATTCAACCAGAATATCCCAGACTTACCATCCATAAAGACAGACTAATGCAAACCCTTATGAGAGGACAGCTCGACAGTAGGAGAACATATTATTGCATGTCACAAAGAGTAGGTGATATGAGAGTAAATGGTAAATGGACCTGTACTTGTATAGCACCTTTCTAGTCTTCCAACCACTCAATGCGCTGTACACTACATGCCACATTCACCCTTTCACTACAATGGAGACTAATCATTCACACACACTTATACACCGATGCTGTTATGTTAAACAGACGAACCCACAAGCAGAACACAGACTCGGTTGGTTAGGATTACCAAAGACAGGCTTTATTGAGAACCAGTTGACGTGATGCTCCTGCTGGCATTGGTGAGAACATTATGGCTGAGATCCAGGCAGAGTGGAGCTGAAGGTGGAGGCAGTGTGGCTGATAGGAAGGAGCAGGCAGGTAGCTGAAGTGAAGGTGATGATCCTGAGGCACGGGAAAAAACAAGGTTAAGTTTCACAGCACGAATGAGAAAAAACTTCTCTTAAGTTCTCTAACTGGCCAAGAAAGTTACCACCAGGCATGTAGAGACAACGATCTGGCAGAGAGTGGATGGCGAACCAGGGTTTATATACTGCAGGACTGATGAGTTGATGGAGACAGGTAAGCAGGTAATCAGGGAGAGTGGGACGCCAGGCAGGAGAAAACTCTACCAACTACTGACCATAACAGATGCAGCATCACAAGCAATTTGGTGTTGAGTGTCTTGCTCAACATTCAGCGCGAGGAGCCAGGGATTGAACGCCAACTTTCCAATTGATGGACGACCTGCTCTATCTCTGAGCCACAGCTGCCCAGGGGGGATGCCATCTGATTAAATGACTTAATTACACCCCCTTGTTAACTTGCCACCCCTCCCTCCATCCTCTAGTACCAGGGTCACTTTTCTTCAAAAGCTCTTATTATGTATTTTATGTTTAAATGCAGCCATTATTTTGCTTGAAATAAGAAAATAACATTAGAGTACTTATAATCACTCCAGTTCAGTGTGGAAACTGACAATAAATATGTTGAAATACTGAATTGTACTTTCTTTATTTGATGACAGTCAGTTGTTGACTACATACAGACACTGATACAACTACCAGGCTACTTCAGTATACACAGCACTGAATCATATTGCAGTTAGATATTATAATGTTCTGGATCGCTTGAGGACATTCTCTCTAGCTGGAGCTCTTTGAATTTGTATTGAATACCTCTGCCTAAGTAGCAGAGGGGGCAGAGAAGTTATTTAGTTAACTGGTTCCTGAAGGGAGCCCTTTTCTGTGACTGAGTAAACTGACGACCACTGACTAAGTGACATATTTTATATATAACAATATAATAACAATATTTCATATTGTATTATATATTACTAAAAGCTATA